TGGCTGTCCAACGAGGCCATAGAAACTTTCAGAACAGAGCCCGAAAAACCCACAACAACCATCAGATCATGATAAAGTTTGTATTTTTTACTTAAGATGGAGGCTTTTAACAATTAAATCCAGTCAGCAGCAAAAGAGTCACACAGACTGTTAATGAAACTGACCGTTCAGAGTTCTCCTGAACCCGTGTCCAGAGGGCTCAAAGGCCTGCAGGAAGGGTCCCTCCACGAAGGGTAGCCGCTAACACTTGGAAGTACCTCCAGGGGCAGGAACTCCTGGATGGGAACAGGCATAGATCACAGCCACTGGAAGAGTGGTTCTGCTTGAGCTCCTTTTCTGAACACAGTTCGTCTTTGCCATGGCTTACGTTTGAAGCCCCAGACAGCCTGTTGTGGTTTAGTCGTTTAGTTGTGTCCGTAGACAGCCTGTTATTGTTTAGTCGTTTAGTTGTGTCCGACTCTTCGTGACCCCATGGACCAGAGCACATGCCAGGCCCTCTTGTCTTCTACTGCCTCCCGGAGTTGTGTCAGGTTCATGTTGGTTGCTTCGCAGACACTGTCCAACCGTCTCGTCCTCTCTCGTCCCCTTCTCCTCCTCTTGCCCTCACACTTTCCCAACATCAGGGTCTTTTCCAAGGAGTCTTTTCTTCTCATTGGATGGCCCAAGTACCGGAGCCTCAGCTTCAGGATCTGTCCTTCCAGGGAGCACTCCGGGTTGATTTCCTTCAGAATGGATCGGTTTGTTCTCCTTGCCCTTCATGGGAAGCGGGTGCCTGTTCTCATGCCAACCTGCCTGTGCATTGCCGTCATCTGGGTTGGTGGAGCTTTTCCCTTTAAGGGCTCCTTCGTGCTAGAGCCCAGGGACCTGTATGACAGCCTGGCTGTTCCTCAGCTCTGGGGAGAACGTCGCTTCCCCTCCCGGCAAGTCAGAAGGGGGCAGGACAAAGGCCGTCAAGAAGGGAGAGCGGATCTCTCAGCAAGGCCCTTTTCCTTTCCAGGGCTCGCTCTGGTTTTGTCCGCGTCTGCCCTGGCCCAGGGGGTGCTGGCGCCTGGGCTTTTTCCAGTCGGGCTGGCCTTGCCCTTCTTCCCAGATCAGCCTCCTGAGGAAGCCCGCCTCTGGCTCATGGCCTTCCGCCAAGCCTTTGATAAGGTGGGCGGGTGCTGGGAAGCAAGCCCCTCTCTGATCTTCCGGTGCTGCTCCCCATTCCCCCCCTCACAGTCTCTTTGATCCTTTGTAATATTGTGCGGGGCAAGGAGGGGAGGGCAGAGGGCTCAGCTGCGCCACTCCAAGGAGCCGTGGCCTCAATGGCGTCGTCTTCCACCGCGGATCCTTCGAGGAGCTTCGGTAATGGCCACCGTGGAGGAAACTCTTTTTACAGAATCCGAATAAAATAAGCTTCCAGTTCTCTTGAGGTTTGTTTTTTTTAATGCCAGTACGCGGACGGAAACCACCTGCTGCACCCTTGCTTTCCCTTGTGCAGAAGCTGCTGATTTTAGCAGCTTGAGAAGATGGTGCCTCCCCAGTCCTGGACTCGATGCAGACGCTACCGTGGGCTCTGTCTGTGCTCCTCTTTAAACAAAAGATGAATGCAAAATAAACTTGGCAGGTTGAGCCGGGGCGGCTGCTCTTCTTCAGGAGCGCTCTGTGAGCTGCTCAAAGTCCTCAGTCGTTCAGTCGCTGGTTGTCTGTTCATCGTCCGGTACGGCCCTCCAGCCTACAAAGAATAAGGCCTTGACCCAGGGGCTATCCCCATGCTGTCTGGGGAGCCTGGCCTTGTGACACGCATGCCCCTGACTGAGGGTTAACATGTGCTCCTTGCCAGGCCTTCAGAGCCAGAGCCCGGCTGACATTCCGGCCGATGTGGGTGGGTGAGAACAAGGGGGAGGCTTGGGGTGCAAGGGGGGGGCTTGGTCTCTTCCTCCCTTCTTGCAAAGCCTGTGCGGCAGACGAGGGCTGTTGCTTCTGCACCCACAACAGTCAAGTGCTTTCTGTGTTTATAGGCATGTGTAGTTTTTTCCCCTTGCTGGGTCAAGAAATATCCATTTAATAGAAAAAGAGGCACACCGCCTTATGGCACAGGATGAGATGTAGTTTTTGGAGTTGTCGCTATGTCAGTCTGTGCAAGCATTTCAGCAAGGAACTCAAAACGAAAGCAGAAAGATGTGGCACCTTAAACTACTGTGTTTTATTGTAAGTTTTCATGGAACATTGTCCACTTCCTCAGACATCTGAGTCACAATATGGAGATGTAGGATGGGGTGTGTGGACCAAACTCTCCTTGTGGAATCCTCCTTTTACTCAGGGTTCCTGCCAACAGAAAGATGTGGCACCTTAAACTGCTGTGTTTTATTGCAAGTTTTCATGGAACATCGTCCACTTCCTCAGACATCTGAGTCACAATATGGAGATGTAGGATGGGGTGTGTGGACCAAACTCTCCTTGTGGAATCCTCCTTTTACTCAGGGTTCCTGCCAGCAGAAATTGGGCCTTCTCTTACTGAGGTGTTCCAGAAAGCATTGAATCTCTTGTCACTTAAGAAATGTCGACTCTGTGTGCCTGGGAGGGGAGGGTCTGGCGGGTGGCCGGCAGCTTCTCTGGCTGCAGAACTCTGCCAAGACTGGAAGGAAGGGAGCAAGGTCTTGCCTGCCTTCTGGAGGGCGGTGGGAGCCCAAGCCTTCTTTGTGAACAGAGGGTGCCTGGACAGTGCCTCCAGGAGCTGGCGCTGACCTCATCATCAGCACGCAAAGAACCACGAGGGAGGCTTCCTTCCAACTCCCTCTACCCGTGGTTCTTCACCCAAACAACAAACGTTCGTTCGACTGCTCTGGTGGCTTCTGAGTTTTCAGAAAAGGGCCTGAAGGACTGATGGTTTCACAAGGCCTGCAAAGAGTTAAAAACCACTTCAGGCAGGTGAAGGGAAACCAAGACTGGAGGCTTTCTCTGGCTCGCTGTTTTATGGGGCAATTAAATGGCAGTGAAGAGTTTTTAGAGGCTGGCTTCAAAGGCGTCCCGGCTGGAGCAATGAAAAGATCTTAGGGAGGTTTTATTTATCCAGTGGGCATAAACTGCCACTCTCTGCCCACCTGCCTTTCTTAAAAGGTGCCCCCTTGGGATTGCCAGGGTCTGGCACCACAGACCGCCTTTTCACCCTCATCCTGATGTGCCTTTTGCAAAGTGCTGGTGGGCTCCCAGGGGTGCGTGTTGTGCTCAGCACCAGGCCTGGCGGCCACAACCCTACCAAGAGGCATTCAAGCTGTATGCCCAGGGCTTGGCTCTGTGCTTGCAAACCACAGTTGGAGAGTACTCAGTGAATAGTATTGGCCTAGACTCTGCCATGGGAATGGCAGACCAAGGTGTTGGGGGTGGTGGTGGTTCCTCTCAGTCTTCCTGTCTAGCTTATCTCTACAGGGCTTGTAAAGGAACCTTTACAAGGCTATTTTGCCCCTCTTGGACAAATGTTTCCATGATTGATTGATTGATTGATTGATTGATTGATTGATTGATTGATTTATTTATTTATTTA